GATCGTGCCTGTAGCGAAGAAAGAAGACAGCGCTTTGCTTCAAGGCCATGTTCATTTTGTAGCGTGGTGATGAGTCTAAATGTCCTTTCTGTGCACTTCGCATACATGTACTTTCCTGAACTCGCGCCTGGCCCACAGCCCGAACACGGTCTCAGCCCAACATAGAACAAGGAAGGGTTAAGGGAGCAATTACTCAAATGAAAAGCATGCAAAAAGCGCTTTTAACTCATAAAATACAGTGCAAAGCACGTTTGGATTACGCAATCAAAGGACTGAGCATGCAGGATCATCATCCTTTGAAAGGCTTTGTGTGAGATCCATGTACATGTACATGTGACGCCCCTACGTACATTTTCAATGTACAGTTGAACATCGATTATCCGACCACCTCTGGGCAGACAACTGTCAGGCGGTGTTCAGATAAGGCAAATGTTCTTTTTTTTTTTTTTTTTTTTTTTTTTTTTTTTTTTTTTTTTTTTTTTTTGATGCTTACAAACTACAATACAATGGCAACTCATTTGTCTGTCGAACTAACAAAAACAATTCATGGGAAGAATGCAATCGCCCTCAACAATTTTTTTTTTTTCTTTTTTTTTTTTTTTTTTTTTTTTTTTTTTTTTTTCACGGCCAAAGTTTATAATACCAGAAAAATAATAATATGTAGCGCAAAATAAAGAGAAGGAAAATAATAACCGGTCAAGCGCTAAATACAAACAGAAGAAAAAGAAATCATAAGCCAATACGCGCTAAACTGCGCTTAAATTATAATGAAGGGAGAAAAACTGGAATCCGCGGAAATTATAACATACAAAATGATACAGAGAAAAGGGGAAACAGACAGGTTGTCTACAGATGACACTCGGAGACAGCAAGTGTGGCAGAATATGCATGAGGGTCATACCTGCTCGACTTGTGGCGATGCCCACGAAGGCATGCCACGGCCGCCTTCACGAGAGCAAAGGACAGCTGGGCTCTGATCAAAGCCATTGCCACAGAGAAAGGCTCACCATTCTTCTCAGACTTGATGCCTGCAATGCGGCCAAAGAGAGTGGAGGCTGCCTTCCCTTGGCCACCAGTCGTACTGAACACCACGGGGATGAAGGAAGCGTGCTCAACGTTGAGAATGCGACTCTCATAACTCCTCCGTTTCTCCTCTTCGTGCTTTCTGTAGCTGCCAGCGATCGTTGGTTTCCGATTTGAGGGGGCAAATGGGTTGAAAACCCGGACATCTAGAAAGGTCCTCTCAAACCGTCCACCGTGTAGACCGCTGACAACTACATCCAGCCGAGCTTGTTCTGCCGTGATGGTGGACTGCAGCGGAAAGCGCTCACCGGTCACAGGCTGGAGGTGCGGCTCAACATGAACATCATGTGCGACGTCGCGTAGCAGTGCTGCTGTTAGGTCTCGGACCTCGTTGTGCCGTAACGAGGGATAACCACCGATGGCACATGACATGGCATGGGTGGTCGAGAATGGCTTTCCACACGCGCATGTTGCCGGTAAGCGATCAGGATCCCATCCATACCTGAGGCATATGGCATCGCGGAAGGCGCCCTTGTGCAGGGTGAAGCCATGCCTTCGCAATGGCCGACATGTCAGCCAACTTGAGGCGCCTTTCTCCGAGGCAAGCTGTAGGGTGCGTTGCAGGTCAGGCTCGAGTTGGGCCATCAGGGTGACGACATGGTCCTTCTCCTTCTTCCCAGCGGCTGTCCTAGCTGTTGCCTTCAGTACCCGCATCCGCCCTGAGATGCCTTCCATGGATGACTGCTGTTGGATGATGTTGTCAATGAGTGGATGGGTGATGGACAGAGAGCGCTGATGTTCATCGCTCAGCTGACTGGGGTTAACAATACCGAGACCACCGAGACGACACGGAAGGTCAAGCACAGCGCGGATCACCGAATTCGGTGGGTGACGCCCTGTCAATGCCGGAATGAAATCATTGCGGATCACATCCTCAAGTGGCTGTAGCAGATCTGCTGCTCCAGGTACAGTACGAACCAGAAATGACCATTTGTGCTTGAGGCCTTGGCTAAATGCAGTGTAGGCGGCTTGCGGTTGGCTAAGTGCATAGGTTGCGAGGCGCTTGACTTCTTTGCACCATTGCTCTGCCTTTTGAGCGACGTACTGATTGCAATACTGCTCTGTGCCCAGGACAGCTCCAAGATGTCGGTGACCGTCCGCGGTTACGCGAACTTCAGTGTCGGCGAACACTTCTCGCGCGATGTTGAGGAACTGTGGTTTGACGAGTAACACAGACTTTGCAGCATTCGTATAGTAGCCGTAAGCTGGACCACGCGTTTCCAGGATAGACCACCATTCTCTGAGACGAATTATCTTACTTGCAGCTGTAGAATCATCAGCGTACCACGCTTGTACGGCGTTGGCTGCAGCGGCTTCGCGGATTAATGGCAACGTCCCTAGAGCATACATCACCATGGCGAGGGGATCCCCCTGCGTTGTGCCCTCAGCAGACTGAAGGGTCTCCCCGTCGACAAACAGCTTTGCGGGCTGTCGGTACGTGTTGGTAAGGACTACGGCGAGTGCGGGGCATAGGTGTTGAACATTCAGGAGACACACAGAACGGTTTAAGCGATTGAACGCGTTGGAAGCGTCTGCAAAGAGAATACCCTCTGTGTCGTCCTGCTGGAAGATTTCTCTCATGGCATGGATTGCTGCCTCTATGCCTGACTCTTGGCCCCCACAGAGCTGGAGACAGCCGACCGACTGGATTATGTCAGCCTTGGTGACTTTGAGGATGGCTTTGCTGATAATCCGTCGCACAACCTCACCGACACCAATCGGCCTGACTCCGGGGTCCTTATCAAGGGCGATGAGGCGGCAGGCAAGGAAGGCATCGAGTGAGGATGGGTCAATGTGTTCTGATGCCAGCCGTCTTGCACATTGGGCTAACGCATCGCACAGGGCATCAGATGCCGTCCTGAAACCTGTACACAAGTGGCGCCATGCAGCAGCGTCCATTCCTGAGGGGCCTGCTGCACCTTGTGTGTCAAGCGCAGCCTGACGGATGATTTCCCTGTTGATAGCCGCAAAATATGTTGGATGCGGCGGTGGTGGGGGTGCGTCTGGTATGACCGCATCTTCTTGAACAGGCCCCGCTGGTGGGTGTTTGTCTTCCAGAATTTGACGAACAGTCTTGCCATCAATTTCTGCGCTCAGCTTATGCACTCCTTTGGCGCCATCATCATCAAGAGTTCGAAGGCTGCTGGCAATTTTTCCCTCGTGAACCAGATTGGCGAATCGCCGAGCGTCGTCATGAGGTGTCCGTCTACTCTTCGAGTATCCTGAATGACACTGCCTTTGCTTGAGCTGCCCCTGGATGGTGCGGGCTTCAAGCATAAGGTTGTTTATATCACCACGTTCCCATAGTTGAAGTCTGCGGTTCAGGTGCTGACGATGTTCTCTCTGGTCACGGCAATCCACTGGCTGTTGCAGGAGTAGTTGGGTCGCGACCATTGCGGTCTTGAGTGCAAGGCCTTCTCCTGCCCCGCCCTCACCAAACCTTCGATAGAGACCTGCTAGCAGGTTCACAAACTTGGCGCCCGCGCCTCCCTGTGGCACTTGGTGAAGGTTGGGCAGGAAGTGCACAGCTTCCTCGTATGCCGCAGAAACAATCTGGCCAGTAGAGTCGGCATCGTGGTCGCCCAGGCTCAAAGCTACATCACTTTGGCCATGGGTGGGTAAGACAGGTACTGCAGGAGGGTCAACCTGACTCTGGTCGAGATTGGCAAGCAGTTGAGTAGCTGCACCTGGTGGCTCGCTAAGACCGTGGGTGCTTGGGAGTGACGGTGATGTGTCCGCTGCTGTGGATGTGCATGGTTCCGTGGGTAGGGTGAAGGGCAGGCAAATGTTCCGGATAAGAAACATGTACATGTACATGTACGACCTTTTTACTTTTCAAAATTTTCGTATTTTTTGAATGGCTCACTACATGCACAGTGCGTACTCTACGGCATGTGCGCCCAAAAAAACTGTTACGGATAATCGAATGGTCGGATAGTCGATGTGCGGATAATCGATGTTCAACTGTACATGTACATGTACTGTTGTGTGTATGTACATGATTGTATCAACTATTACCACTCCCTTAGTATTGACTCTCATTGATTATAATAATCTCTATACCTAAGCAGTCAACTATCCCTTCATATTTCACTCTTTAGAGCTACAATGTACATGTACATGTATGCTTAAAACTGCTTTGACTCCATTTAGGGATTGAACACATGCTTCGGTTTGCGGTGATAAATCTAATATTGACTTGGGTCACTTGGCACTAAGTCCATATGAACATCTCTTATTAAAAAGGCCTAGGCTTCACCTCCGTCTTTTACTTCGCATTTATTTCCTATACTAGTAGTGACCTCTTACTCGATCACATGTGCGTGTACACTAGATACATGTACATAAGTGACATGTCTTTCTGTTGTACCCGATCTCCCTCTGATGTACCCGATCTCCCTCTGTTGTACCCGATCTCCCTCTGATGTACCGCTGACTCTACGCTGCAGATCTTAGTAATTCTCATTCTCATTATAATTTTCTTATTCGCTTTCATGTTATTGGGTTCTATGCCCGTTTGAATTTGCGAATTAAAATAAATACAAACAAACATGTCTGAGGAGAGTGTTGAACGGTCGCTGCTTGGATGACGACGCCACCATCCCTTTAGAGCATCGCTGGCCATAAGCCAGGGTCCCTGACTCCCTGGTTCGAGTGCTGGTGGTGACAGTCAATTCTTCTCTTCAGACGTTTCCCGTTTGCGTCTTTCTCTCAAACCAATGAATATGTGACCTGATACATGTATCTTACCTCAGCAGTAAACCAACATTGCCTTGAAACAAAGCGTTGTCTTCTCCCCTTGGCTACATGCATGGTCCTCAGAAGATACATTACCTCCCCCCCCCCCCCCCCCAGGCAAGTAGGGGGTACAACGCAAGACGGGATTCTCTTTACGAGAGTATCGCAGGGAGTCGTCATAATATGCAGTAAAATTAATTTTGACGACTCCATGAGATTAAAGTACAAGCGGGAATTTTGAAGACTTGATTGATAGAGCACAGTCATGTACATCCTATGCGCGAATCCTCGACCAGATTGCCGGGCAATTAGTGCCAATTGCATGAAGCAAGTCGGAGCTCCACTAAACTGAACACCCTACAGCAGACAAAAAAAATAATATTTAAAAAATCAGAAACCTATCATGCATGCGCTTGGGTTGGGCATGATGGTTGCGTGTACTCAAATTGAAAATTATACGGGAAGCAACTGGAAAGAGTCCAAAATCGAAATAATATCATAGCTTGAATAGGGTGTTGCAGAAATGTTAATGTTAATTCAAAAATTCTTTCACGATAATTTTTAAAAAATGCTATGATTTTGGATGCGAGCTAATATCAGTCGCCATAAAGAACATACTTATTATTATTATTATCTGTTTAAAAAAGGGTGTGCACTTTCCGACCTTTAGATACGCTACAGTATGTTACGTTATTGATCCTACTACTTTGCCTAGCGTTGACTGCACGCCGGGCAAGGAGCTTTGGCAATTTAAAAGCATTGCCAGGCGCAAGCAGAAATCATGCTGCTGACAAATACGGGTATATTCAGCGTGATTAGCAAGCCTGCAGTAGAATCATTCCTACGTCAATTGAGCAAAAGAGTACTTCGTAGTGAAATGTTCGAGGCTATCGACAGCACCTCCTATATTTAACTTTTAGAATTGCTGCGGAATTTCATGGATGCGTTCAGTTCCAAGAGGGATCAATTTCAAGGAAAAATGTCAAGCAGCTAAGCTTGCAACAGGTCGGAAAAGTCACCTCATGGTTGCGATGGATAATGACATACGTGATTAGGAAAGGCAAGGCAAGATGAGCGGTCTCAGCAATGCGAACTTATGTACGACAGTAGAAATACTTGTGCTGTGCCAAAACACACATCCTATGGGAACGGGGAGGGTTGTGGAAGGGTGGAGGGTTGTGGAAACCAACTACAAAAGCGGAATGCCAGGCCCAAATGAGCAGATACGGAGAATACCGTTCAACGCTTACGGCCATTTCTTGCCGTGGAGCCTCGGAGCGGTGAGTATTGTGTAAGCTGAGGTGCTTCAGAAAACTCTGTTATAAATATCCAGTACAATGTTCTCACCTAGGTAATACCTAGCCAGTGACACCACAGTGAAAGTATTGCACCCGCAGTGCATGGCCTTGCAGCACACACACACACACCACATAACCATGAACTCAGAGAGCCACGGTCTACGGCCACACTACTTACCACCAGCGCTCCCTTCACCGGTCAGCAGAAGCACACACAACAACCTCAGACCTGCAGCAACAGCAGCAGCGGCGGCAGCAGCAGTGGCAACAGTAGCAGCAGTGGCAGCAGCAGTAGATTCCAAGCAGGTTTACTTTCTACTCCATCTCATAGTAGTCTCTGAGCCTGCAAGCTACTCAATTCAACAAAAAAAGGAAGCAGTTGCTGACAGTTTCTGCAGCCATTACTTGCAGCAAGATTTCCGTCGTTGTGGAACAGAATCCTCATCGTCTAGAGTGTGAACGTCCGTTTTCTTCTCATCACCGAGTTGCGCTGCTACAGACACACTTGCTGCAAGCTTCTGCAGTGATACCATTCGGGAATAAATAAAAATAATGCACACGCACACACACACACACACACACACACACACACACACACACACACACACACACACACACACACACACAAGCGCATGCTAGGATTCAGATCACGTTGCTTTCTGAAAGCTTGAACATACACGATGGCACTTAAACCACAGCCGCTAAAATCCAGAACCAAGTACAGTATTGTACTATATAGTAGCAGTGGGTTAGTCTGACACAACCATTGAGATACAAGCTGTACCTGGTTCAAGTCCGGCCTGGGACCGGTTTTCCCACGGTGCTGCTACCCACGGTCAACTGGGAACTTGTGTCCAGGCACAAGCAGTGCATCGATGCGGCTAAAGGTGCTTCCGATGCTTGCGTCATTGGTTGTGATAATTATCTCCTTGCCCCCACCAGTAGGCACTGCATTTGCCACTGGATTTTCCACGGTATTCCGGCCATTCAAATACACAGGAATAGCGCAAAACACAGGTCACAACTTACATCGCGGTCCATGATGACTTCAGTCAGCTTGGCAAAAGTCTGTAAAGGAGCGAGAAAACAAAACCTATGTGAATGGATGCATGGTATCTCATGCGCGACTGTGTGTATGTGCGTGCGTGTCTGTATGTATGTGTGACATTGGAAGCATGCTCCCAATGAGCTCAATGCCTCACCCTAACAGCCCTCAGTTAACTTCAAGATATTCATAATGCATCCGTGCCACCACGCAATGCATCCGTCAGATGATGTGGTCATCACACGGAGTACCCATCAGATCACACGATCACCACACCACGTAGTCATCAGATGATGTGATCACCACGCTGTGTACCCATCAGATCATGTCACCACATCTTGTGACCACCATGCAATGCATCCACCAGATCATGTGACCATCACACCATGAATCCATCAGATCACGTGACAACCACACCAAGGAGTGGAATGTAGATCCCTTAGGTCACGTGATCGCCATACCATAGATCCATTGGATCACGTGATCACCACGCCGTAAAATGGCGTAGGTCCATTGGATCACGTGATCACCATGCCGTAAAATGGCGTAAATCCATTGGATCACGTGATCACCACGCCGTAAAATGGCGTAGATCCATTGGATCACGTGGCCACCAAGCCATGGATGCAACAGATCATGTGACCATGTCCACATACACACCTCAGGTGTTATGACCATTCACTCACCTCGGAGATATTGGTGTATTCCGCCGCACTGGTTTCGGCGAAAAGAATTCCATACGTTTTCGCGAGCTGTAGTATACCGATTCAATGTCACGTGTACATGGGAACACACACACACATGAGCGCACACATGCACACACACACACACACACACACACACACACACACACACACACACACACACACACACACACATGCACACACACACACACATGCACACACACACACACACACATACGCACACACACACACACGCGCGCACACATTACCACACACGCACACATTACCACACACGCACACACAGAAAACAGAGAAGACTGAGCAGTGTCAAACATTCACAGTACCAGCACCTATTGAGGGTGCAAGTAGCAGAGAGGGTTATAGGTTTTAGCCAAGGACTGGGATGACAGAAGCATAGCCATTTCTTCAACAGCACGGGTTGTCTCAACCCCCACATCCAAACAGATGCTGTCCCAAACACCAAACACGAACAGAAAGCAATCTACAGGTGCAGGGACTAGTCACTGGGAACTTCAGTCAACTTCGCGAATAGTGGATATAACGACAATTCGCGAATAACGACAGAATTTCCATGCCCAGAGCAAAGTCCCGTCCAACTGTAATACAGAATAGTGAGGCTTCGGGTATACCGACACTTCGCGAATAAGGACACTTTGTTGATGCCCCGCCGAGTGTCGTTATAAGCAAAGTTGACTGTGTAGGGACAAACACTTGCACAACGAAGCTGTTCCCTCAAGAAAGATCCGAACGACAACGACAACAACAAAATAGCAGCAGTTTCAAAAGGGAAATCTGGCCTGGCCAAGATGCGAATGCTTACCTTTTCACCGTCGGTGGTAGACACCCGCCGCTGATCCTTCAGGTCACACTTGTTACCCACAAGAAAAACTACGGGATCATCCTCCGGAGCACATTTCTGATAGGCAAAGATAGAAACACACCCACCCACACATGCACACACACACACACACACACACACACACACACACACACACACACGCACGCACACACACACACACACACACACAAATACACAAACACAGCCTGAGATACGGCCAGCAAAGAACAGCGGCATACCACACTAGAAAGTATACCAGCTACAGGTTACAGGTTACAAAAAGCAAATCATAGCAGGCGACAACAACGTGAGACAAGACCAGCAGTAGCAAGCAGCCATAGGCAAACCTTTCACACAGCAGCAACTGCACCGGAAAATCTACGGTTTATTTTGGTTGCGATCCATAATGACAATTGTGGACAAACCCTTGTCTCGCTGTTACCTCAGCTGTCCATTCCGTTGCGTACTGGAAAACGCTAGACATGATGTACGTTGTAGAAGTGTCAGTAACCCTGTATACTTCCCTGTATACTTCCCTGCACTGCTCAATTCTCCACATCAATTTGACTACAATCCTGAGAGGTGCAATTCAAATCGGCTGAATATGATCCAGATATCAAAGTATTGACTCCCCGGTGAAAGGGAACATATTAATTCTGCAGGATGTTTCAAGTCAAATCCATGCGGCAAACGAAACTTCATTGTTCCTTCCAATTCTAAAGAATGTGGACAGTACCATGTTGCTAATGGCAACAAGACCTTCTCGAGTGGGTACTGCCCCCCCCCCCCCCTCACACTCGCGGAGAAGCACCTGACTCCACCATGCTATTTTCTCTCTCAGAATCAACGGCAGAAGAGTGCCCGTTTACTGAACTGACATGCGCCGCTCAATTAGGCTGTTTCAAGATATTCGAAAACCAGAGAACCAGTTTGTGCTTGGTCCCGTGCGTCTGTCACGTGATGAAGACCATGTTACGGCAATCTGCAATTCATTGGCACTGCCGCTCACCTCCTTGATATTGTTCAGCCACTGAGACGTCTCAGCAAACGACGCTGAATCCGTGATGTCGTACACCAGCAGAATACCCTGAAACAGCAGCAGCAGCAGCAGCACCAGCACCAGCACCAGCAGTAGCATTAGCACCAGCAACATCAGACTACCAAGGGGCCATCCGTAAATATCGATAATTTTTTCAATCCGTGAATTTTACAAAGTAACCAGGACCCACCACCCACCCCCTACTTTTTACGGAATAAAATATTGATGACACATGTACTGTACCTACATAAAATG